CTTGCCATAGAAATATAAGTCGGTGGTATGTAGAAATAGATTCGATACATCTCGAGAGAGAGTATTAGATAGACTTAGGAACATTGATTCGTCACAATTGAAGTGTGTTGTCACACTGTGAAACTAGGGTTTTAAAATGATAATTGCATGGGAAATCGTGATCCTAATGTATTTAAGGCGAGGTTTTGGCTTCACAAGATGGGAAGCTTATATGTGAGACACAATGAATGCTCGACTTGATGTTGTATTTCGGCAGGAACTTCCTGAGGTATGAATTTATGCTTCTACAATGTATTTAAACAATCAAAATCAGAGAACAAAGTAATTTAGTTCAATGTTCTCTAGGACGCCTTGTTATCCAGTTTCCTTTCTTTACTCTGGGATGAGTTTACTTCTTCCCTCCATTCTGCCCTATCCCCCTAATCCGACCACCACAACACATTAAAAGGAACATGCCCCACAAATAGAAATAGAAATAGAAATAGAAACTTTAAGCATAGTTTTTTTTATCCTTGGCAGTTTTGATAGATCTTTGTGCTCCATGAAGATTCGCAAGAAGCTGGTGAAGTGAGTTGTTGACGAAATTTATTTGCAATAAATAAGCATAGTTTTCTGTATTAGGATGAGGTCGAGATGACTCGTTCTCTCTCCTCCAACGGCAGTTACATTAACATAGGTGTTATACATAACCTTATGGTTTTTTATAACATGAGATCTCAGGATTTTGGAATAAATGAATGTAAAACATTTAATTTTGTTAATTGAACTCACTTTCAGAATACCCCGTATGAAATTTCTAGCATTTTTTTTGTCTGATTTCTGCAGATATGATTTCAACGTAATTACTATAATTTAAATTGCGATGAATATGAGTTAAAAGAATGATCAACATTATGTCCGACTCGTGGCAAGGACCAAAAAAGTGAAATTTAGTGCAAGATCTCCCAAATTACTTTAAGATGTTGACAATAGACTCCACATGGTTAAAAAATAAATAAAGATGAAAGGTTACGAAATATTCATCCGTTGTATGATTTTCTCTTAGCTATTAGACAAAAAAAAGTCCGGTCATGAATTGATATTATTTTTATATTATTCAAACTAAGGTCAGCAGAATCAACATGATATTCGACTTTTTTGAATTTTACAGAATATTTTTGAGTTTCATTTTCATATAAAATAAAATATCACTTTAGCTACTCGCCTATAGCTAGGTTATCTCAAATCTCAGATAGAACTCCTTTCTTCAATATTTTGGGCATTTCTTTATTAAAATATATGTTGTTGACCAAAAAATAAAAAAATCATAATTATCGCCTCGAATTATCCAAAGTGTGATTTTGTAAATAATCATATTGGTACACATATGTACATACAAACATAATATACATGGTTTGTCGACTATGAAATGGAAACAAAATGACCAATGTTATATTGACAATTAATGCTTAAAATCGAAACTTCCACTTCGTCTTGGTCGAGACCTTGGTCATTTCCAACCCTACACCAAAATTTACAATATTTTGTGCCAAATCTTGCACCAAATAGAAAATCATCTCCAATTTATTATACCAAAAGTTGCACCAAATGAATAGTGTTTAATAATTTTCTTCATTTTTTTTTAAATTCTTAACAATTCATTTATCTAAAAAATTATTTTTATTACTACATAAATTATTAAATAATTAATTACGTTTAGTTTATAAAAATATTGAATTCATTAATAAATTTAAAAAATGTAGTACAATTAATAGAAATACAACTAAGAAAATATTTAATCATAATATTAATAAAATGTGTAATATCTTTCGAATCGCAATATCATGATATTACAAAGTCGAAATAATATTCACAATTAATTATTATTTATTACATAATTAAAATTTATTACAAATGCAAATAATAATAATAATAATACTAATACTAATAATAATAATTTAGAATTAAAATTTATTATATAACAAATGGACTAGTATACCCTTAACAAAAATTGGTACAAAGTGGAAGAAAAAAGTAAAAAGATATTTAATAATTTTGGTGTAAAATAGTACAAATGAATAATATTGCACTAAAATGGTGCAATCGAGATGAGATTGGAGATGCTCTAAAAATCCCTCCATTGACAGTTAATGCTGAATTTGTCTTCCCTTCATGTCACCTTCTGTATATAGTCATATTACGTCCTAGTGAAGTCGTTTTCTACTCCCATCTTGTAGGGACCCAATTTTTATTAACACGTTAATAGCAGTCACCACTGTCAAACTTAAAACCCCACTGACAAAGCTATTTAACAAATTATTTTGATCAGTTCAAAGATCTATGACTGCTTCTAAGTTCTTAATTACTTGTCAGCCACCTTTCTAAAAACTTAGTGGAAAGATTACATTTGTTTATTTAAACTTTATCTTCAACACAACTCTCGCTTATGTATCAAGTCTAGGCTGGACTCATTTTTTCTCATGTGTAAGGGCTTTTGTTCAATGGATAAAAGTGACTCTAGACATAACAGACTTATCTTCTCCTAGCCCAAATTTTTTCGCATGTTTATTTTTCATTTGAAAGCAGGGGCGAATACAGCACGTACTTTTAGCTAGGGCGGAGGTTGACTTTGACCGTTGACCGTCGACAATCAATGATCGTAAAAGTTCGATCCCGCTATGGCCGATCATTTATTGATTCAATGAAAATGATTTATTCAACCATATGTCAACAGTTTTATTCAATAACAACCAAATGAAAAAAACCAACAAAGAGTTTTATGCGACATAAGAACAAAATCAAAATATAAACACGAACCTAAAATAATAGTATTAAATGGAACATTAAATATTCAGATTAGAAAATACAATAGAAACAGTGAGATAATCCAAAATTAGCATCATCCATTGGAGTTGGTATTTGTGGGGTCAATAAAAAAAAAAAAAAACTTTGCAGAATTTCAAAACCAATTTGCTGGCACAAATTGCAAAAACCCAAAAAATGCTTGCGTGAAGTCAAGGATAAGACCAAAATCAAGATTCAATATTGAAACTTCATGCATTTAATCACTGTGTCCATTAGTCTGTTGATAGGTCCCAGTCAGAACAAAGATAAAATGTTAGAAGATAGTTCTTTCTTCGGGTGAAAGAAAACCACAAACAATTCTCTTCGGGTGAGAATCGAACCACAATTAGAACCTTTTTTGGATAAAATATTTCACTGCCTTTCTCCTTCATTTTGTGCCATTTAAATAGGCAAAGTTACAACCCACTAATCAAGTGAAATATACAGAAACTTCCGTGACTGGTGCTACAATATAGGAGGAAGAAACAAACGTGCCAAAACAAACTAACGGAAATGCAAACACTACTCGGTCTAACATATTCCTATAAACAAATGAAAAAAACAAATCCTAATGCATGGACTTGGTCATGGGCTTCCACGTGTGGTTTGGAATTGGACTCACTTCCACGTAGCTGCTGCATCTATGCCCATTATTCTCTACTTCAGGGGCGAATCCAGCACGTACTTTCAGCTAGGGCGGGGTTGACTTTGACCGTTGATCGTCGACAATCAACGATCGTAAAAGTTCGATCCCGCTATGGCCGATCATTTATTGATTCAATGAAAATGATTTATTCAACCATATGTCAACAGTTTTATTCAATAACAACCAAATGAAAAAACCAACAAAGAGTTTTATGCGACATAAGAACAAAATTAAAATATAAACATGAACCTAAAATAATAGTATTAAATGGAACATTAAATATTCAGATTAGAAAATACAATAGAAACAGTGAGATAATCCAAAATTAGCATCATCCATTGGAGTTGGTATTTGTGGGGTCAATAAAAAAAAAACTTTGTAGAATTTCAAAACCAATTTGCTGGCACAAATTGCAAAAACCCAAAAAATGCTTGCGTGAAGTCAAGGATAAGACCAAAATCAAGATTCAAGATTGAAACTTCATGCATTTAACCACTGTGACCATTAGTCTGTTGATAGGTCCCAGTCAGAACAAAGATAAAATGGTAGAAGATAGTTCTTTCTTCGGGTGAAAGAAAACCACAAACAATTCTCTTCGGGTGAGAATCGAACCACAATTAGAACCTTTTTTGGATAAAATATTTCACTGCCTTTCTCCTTTATTTTGTGCCATTTAAATAGGCAAAGTTACAACCCACTAATCAAGTGAAATATACAGAAACTTCCGTGACTGGTGCTACAATATAGGAGGAAGAAACAAACGTGCCAAAACAAACTAACGGAAATGCAAACACTACTCGGTCTAACAGATTCCTATAAACAAATGAAAAAAACAAATCCTAATGCATGGACTTGGTCATGGGCTTCCACATGTGGTTTGGAATTGGACTCACTTCCACGTAGCTGCTGCATCTATGCCCATTATTCTCTACTTGATCTCCAGCCATGCACGTATCATTTGTGTATGCAAATTTCAAACAAAAGTCAAAGCCTAGCTACTATTGATCTTTACCAAACACGCCACGACCTCATCTTTCTCTTCATCTTCTCTGTGTAAATTCTCTCTTACACAGTCACATAGTGAATTGGCTTTCCTGGGCGATCACTTGGAGGTAAAAAAAAAAAATTAAAATCCACATGGATGATCCTCTCTTCCTCTTCTTCTTTCTTCCCATGCTTCTTTGTTTCTCTTTCTCTGGCGGCTCCAGAGAATCCAGCTAGGGCGGCTCCTCTTCTTCTTTCTTCCCATGCGTCTCTGTCTCTCTTCCTCCGGAGGCTCCGGCGAATCCAGCTAGGGCGGCCGCCCTAGCTGGCGGACCCCTGGATCCGCCCCTGCTCTACTTGATCTCCAGCCATGCACGTATCATCTGTGTATGCAAATTTCAAACAAAAGTCAAAGCCTAGCTACTATTGATCTTTACCAAACACGCCACGGCCTCATCTTTCCCTTCATCTTCTCTGTGTAAATTCTCTCTTACACAGTCACATAGTGAATTGGCTTTCCTGGGCGATCACTTGCAGGTAAAAAAAAAAATTAAAATCCACATGGATGATCCTCTCTTCCTCTTCTTCTTTCTTCCCATGCTTCTTTGTTTCTCTTTCTCTGGCGGCTCCAGAGAATCCAGCTAGGGCGGATCTTCTTCTTCTTTCTTCCCATGCGTCTCTGTCTCTCTTCCTCCGGCAGCTCCGGCGAATCCAGCTAGGGCGGCCGCCCTAGCTGGCGGACCCCTGGATCCGCCCCTGTTTGAAAGTTTAAGCTGTTTAACACCAAACACATTCTTATCTAAAGTTTGCCTTTAACATTCTTTTAAGTCCCTGGGTTTAATTTAATCGAAGGAATAACGATAATAAAAATTCATCCCACTAGCCATCCATTACCAGTTTATACATTCGCAAATCGTCCATTAGACAAGCTGTTGAACCTCCTTTCATTAGCCTCGCTTAGTTGTTTCTTCTAGTCTGTAAACCGCTTTGGACCAAATTCTTCCTCAGTTTATGTATTTATGTTTTTGTTGGAAGTTGGAATAGACATTTTAGCGTCTTCTTCTTGTTGTTTAACCTGCAGATGGCTCAGAGAACATTATATTTCATAGCAATATTTCTCGCGTGTTTTTCTGCGCGACTTGCTTATGCACAACAAATCACAGATCCCCGGGAAGGTTTTCTGTTTGCTATTCTTGTCTTCACTAATCAATTCTCTTTTTCTGCAGGCTTTTAGAATCTTGCCTGCATACATATATATTGTATTAACTATGTAACAAGCGTGTTTCAATCTATCATTGTGACTACTGCAGTTTCCGCTTTACTAGCAGTTCGTAGCCACCTAACTGACCCATTGAAAAATCTCGGCAACTGGGATAAGAAAAAAGACCCGGGTACCTCGAATTGGAAGGGTGTGATATGCTACCCAAACTCAAGTGATGGATATATGCACATTCAAGAATTGTACGTACTTCACTATTTAATGCTTCTTTCCGATGTTAGACCTTCCTTTTACCTAGAACATTATGACAGTAGTACACCAATTTGAATACGATGGAAAACAGTTTCCTTGGATTATTTGGTTGTCTACCTTCTTATCGTCCACTTAAGTTGCATAATATCAACTAGGACTTGGAAGCTTACGGTGCTTTTGAAAAAGAACTTATTCCCTTCACCTGGTTATGCAGGCGTTTGATGCATACTAACCTCTCTGGTATATTAGCTCCTGAGCTGGGTCGGCTAGTTCATATGAAAAGATTGTGAGTCTTCACAGATTTTTATATCTTATATTTGTGTTATGTATTGGGGGTTTTCGATATCAGTTCCTCACTTTGATGTCAGGAACTTTATGTGGAACAATATCAGTGGCAGCATTCCGAAGGAGATTGGCAACATTACTGCTCTTGAGCTCCTGTATGTAGATTGTCAAGATTTTTTTATACCTTTGACTCTGCTAAATGAATTTCTTGTTTACTGAATGGTTTTCAAAATTTTAAATGATGAATCATGATATTTTTTATTCAATCAACAGGTAAGAGAAACTGGTATATGGCATGGTGTTCTATGAAGTCTTTTAGATGAGAAATAAAATAAACTAGGCCTTTTGTTCAATAAGTTTGGGGTTGGCATCTTGAGTCATTTTTCAACATTTAATTCAATTCGTTGCTATGTCTTTTATAATAAATGCTATCACACAAATCTCAAGATGAAAACTTCCATTTCAAATGGATAGTCACAGCTTTTAGATGCAATTATTAGTCTAGCCAACCAACTCCTCCAGTCCTCCCAGCTGAGATGTACACTGAGACAACTCTTGTTCTATATTGCAGGCTTTTGAGTGGAAATCAACTATCGGGGCCATTACCTGATGAACTTGGTCATCTTCCAAACTTGAATATATTTCAGTTGGACCGGAACCAGTTCTCTGGATCAATCCCAAAATCATTTGTAAACTTGCTCAAAGTTCAACATTTGTGAGTTTCCCAAGTGTATTTATAGTTATAGAATATTTAAGCATATTTTAATATCAATATGAAAATACAGCCACATGAACAACAATTCACTTGGTGGCCAGCTTCCTCCTGAGCTTTCGGCCCTTCCTCTTCTTCAACACTTGTAAGTTCCATGTTTTAAATTGTAATGTTGCATTAATTTTGGCTGTAAGGAACGAATGCTCTGAATAGGTGCAGTGCACCATAGTTGTTATGTTCTACGCATTAATACGTGAACTATGACAGCCTTTTGGATAACAACAAGTTAGCAGGACATCTCCCACCAGAGTATTCACAAATGCCGAACTTGACAATTCTGTATGTTCCGATTTTAGGACTTCAGTTTTTTCCAGTCCAAGGACTGGTTGCTCTATCCGATAAATCATTTTTGCCTTTAATGATTTGTTGCCCTCGTCTACGTATTGCAGTCAGCTTAACAATAATAACTTTGAGGGGAGTGTGATTCCCGATTCCTATGGAAACATGTCCAAGCTCATAAAGTTGTAAGTCCTTTATCTTCATTTATTTTTTTCTCATCAAATTGCCACGTGTCATAAAATTTGACTCTATTTTAGACCCTAAACTTTGATGATCACGTATTTACTTGTATATGGTAGGAAGAGAAGACAATATATTTGCATCCTTAAAATGGTAAATCATTTTTATTCAAGCAGGAGTCTAAGGAATTGCAATTTGCGAGGGAAAGTACCAGATCTCAGTGGCATACGAAGCCTTCTTTACTTGTACGTCTATAAGATCCATTTAGAAAATCTGTCCCAAAGTGACATGATATAAAGAGCAAGTCTTGCATTGATGGGAAAAAATAAAACCAGCCTGGTTTGTTCTTGAATATAATTGTTCTCTTCCTGTTACAGAGATCTTAGCAAGAATCAACTTACTGGAAATATACCGGTAAACAGACTCTCTAACAATATCACAACCATGTAAGTAACAATCAAGGTGCTGCTATAATGAGATATTATAGCACTTGCTAATACATCGCTTCATTGTACGACAATTTTCCAGTAATCTGTCGAAGAATCAGCTTAATGGATCTATTCCCTCCAATTTCTCTGGACTTCCTCGTCTCCAGAAACTGTAAAGAATTGCCGCTTTTTAGACTTTTTTTCAGTTCTCATGATTGTAGATTTTTCTCATTAGTCTTGTGCTTTAGAATAATGGGGTTTTTTTTTTATTTTTTTATTTTTTATTTTTTTTATAGGAGGTTGAATAATAATTTGCTGAGCGGATCTGTTCCATCTACCATTTGGAAGGACAAAACTTTTACTTCTGACTCAAAACTTGAAATGTAAGGTTTGAAACATCAATTTTTCTGTCTGCATAAAACATGTCTTCTCAATTGTCAAATTTTATATGCTTTGCAAATTATGAACTTATCTAAAAAAGCGCATTATATCTCTCTTTCGGCACCCCATATTTGAATAATCAATCTCATCACGGCATGCAATTCTTCCATTGTCGAAAAATGTCGTAATCTATGCTTTTCTGATGAAAATGTCTAATTTTTTTTTATTTTTTTTTGTCTTGTACATATTATCGAAGTTTACTTCATCTGGAATATTACTTTGCAGAAATTTTCAAGACAATCTACTTTCGGATATTTCTGGTGTCCTGGAAGTCCCTCCAAATGTGACACTAAAGTGAGTCTCTATTTGTATATTATCAGTCAGTTATTACCTATATTAGTTCCTCTTATTCCTCAAGCAACTAAAATTGGAAATAGGATCAAATCTATTAGTAGCAGAAGCAAAATGGTTGCATAATCCTATTACATTCTGATGAATCCCAAATATTAAAATTTCGGGCTTCATGGAAATCCTGTTTGTGAAAATGCAAATCAAAGGAACATCGGTCTTCTTTGTGGGTCTGATTACGAAGATGAAGACACAGCCACCATCGTGAACAAACAAGAGTTAAATTGTCCATCTTCTTGTCCTACTTATTACGAACATATCCCAGGATTACAAGCTAATTGCATTTGTGCAAATCCTTTTGGGGTAGGACTCCGGCTGAGAAGTCCTAGCATGTCCGACTTTCCTCCATACCGAGATCAATTCAATGAGTACATAACAGGAAATATTAAGTTGTATCCTTATCAGCTTTTCATTGACACACTAGCTTGGGAAGAGGGTCCTAGGCTAAGAATGTTCTTGAAGTTCTTCCCTAAGAATGATTCTAATGAATTTAACAAAAGTGAGATTCCACGGATTGCAGACGTATTTGCAACCTTCACTCTACCTGGGAATGATAAATTTGGCCCTTATGAACTGCTTAATTTTACTGCCAATGGATCTTCTATTATTTATTTTAATGGTAAGCCAATTTTTACTGATACTTCTCAGTAAAAGCAATCTATGCTCTAAAATTGGATTGAGTTGAATTGAAATTTCTATTGCTGTAGTGCAATTCCCATCTTTAAAGGGTAAAGGAATGAGCAAAGGCGCCTTGGCTGGAATCGTCTTGGGGTCCATCTTGTGTGCCAGCATGGTATTTTTAGGTGTCGTACTTTTATTCTTAAAGAAGAATCAGCAGCTTCCACCCAATGCTGTGAAAGATAAATCACGTGAGTCGCACTTTATTATTCTCATTAACAAGTTTTTTATTTATTTACATTATACATGACTTCTATCCATATTTCTTATTGCTTTATTAGTCGGAAAAGTTACAATAATAATGGATGGAGTGAAGGCATTCAGCTTTAAAGAGTTGCAAGCAGCAACAAGCAGATTTAGCATTGCTACTCAAGTTGGCGAAGGAGGATACGGAAAGGTCTTTAAAGGTACTTTAGCAGATGGCACAGTTGTAGCTATAAAGCGAGCACACCAAGGTTCTTTGCAGGGTGACAAAGAGTTCTACACCGAGATAGAAATCTTGTCTCGTTTACATCACAGAAATCTGGTTTCATTGGTCGGATATTGTGATGAGGACGACGAACAGGTACAATTCAATCTCAAATATATCTCTTGTATATCAGTACTTGGAGTGAACTTACCTTGATCAGTTCATGAATGAACTTCATCTAATAGTAGTTTATTCTTTCTTTGTCTTGTTTGTGCATACAGATGTTGGTATATGAGTTCATGCCAAATGGCTCATTACATGACCTCCTATCTGGTAATGATCCATTCTTCTTATTGCTTGTGTTTGTATTTCTACTAAATCTTGTTTATTCAGTTACTCAATGTCCCTAAATTTATGTTTTCAAGTAAAAATTTCGCTCGTGTTAATAGCTAGAGATAGATCACCTCTAAGTTTTGCGACAAGATTGCATATTGCACTAGGTTCGGCAAGAGGAATTCTTTACCTCCATAGAGAAGCTGATCCTCCTATCATTCATCGTGATATCAAGGCAAACAACATATTGTTGGACTCCAAGTGGACTGCCAAAGTATCTGATTTTGGAATCTCAAGGCTTGCACCAGTATCAGATGTAAAAGAAGCTACAGAAGCACACATCTCCACCAATGTGAAAGGAACACCGGTAAGATGAACTCTATTTATGGATTTGGGGACTTCATAAAAAATATTGAAATGAACAGACCGAAAGGCTTGTTCCCAGTAAATTTTGGGCTGTCTACAATAATTTTATTTTTGCCACTGTACTAGGTTTCATGTCATAAGTTTGTCAAAAAGTTTATTCTAGATGTAAACTACTAACCCTCATTTGCCTGGCTTCGGACTGGCTAAAAAACAATTTATTCTAAGTCAATGAGATCCCTTGAGAGAGCAACTCAAGAAGATCACTACGAGATTGATGGAATGATGTTCGAGCGTTACATTGTTTAGACAGTTTAAATATTCTTCACAGACATCATTCTCTTAAAAATTCTACCCAAGCATTGAACTTAACAACCAATAGTAGTACAAAATAAGAAGTGATGTTAAGATGACCAACTTACTAGAGAGTGTCAAGCTTAGATATTTGAGAAAGTGTATCATAGAAATTTACTCGATCAAACTTTCATGTGGCATATTTAGGTTGATTAGTTTCTCTTATTGTCCTGGTAACAATAATTATTTTCGCGTTCTCTTTTCATATCCCTTTGGTATTAAAACAGTGTTTTTACCTATATACAGGGTTATCTTGATCCAGAATACTTTTTGACCCACAAGTTGACAGAGAAAAGCGATGTTTATAGCCTTGGTGTAGTATTTCTAGAACTCTTAACAGGGATGCAGCCTATATCTCATGGAAGGAACCTTGTGAGAGAGGTATCACAAGATTTCACTATGCTACACCTTATTGAGGATTTAATATAAAGTTCTGCCTTTTTTTAATTTTTTACTTTTAAGATCATATGCTTGCTTGATGGGATGAATGAGAAGGATCATACAGTAGATTTATGAATTTCTAACTTGTGTGAACAAGCATTACAATTATTCAAGTTCTTGCTTTGTCTATTATCACATCATCTCTTTAATTTCCACAATATGTGCTTACAGGTTAACATGGCATGTCAATCTGGAACGATGTTTTCCATCATAGACGAGAGTATGGGGCCATATCCTTTAGAGTGTATAAAGAAATTTATGCAATTGGCCATCAGGTGTTCTCAAGATGAAACAAAGGGTAGACCTTCTATGTTGGAAGTGGTAAGAGAGCTCGAAAACATATCTTCAGTGCTTCCAGAATGTGACAACACTGCATTGGAGTTACACTTAAATACTGTGACTTCTGAATCCTCAGCCTCAGCCCCATCTTCTTCAGTCTACTCTACTTATGTCTCTAAGAATCTCCCTGGAAGTAATCTTGATAGTGACGTCTTCCCTACCATCAAGCCTCGTTGATCAGTTCAATAATGATCATAGATCAGTTGCACTCTGTCAAACAGTGATTGTTTAAAAGAGACGATATTTCTTTTCATTTAATTCAAACTTGTACATATGGATCTTAGCTTGTGAACTTTAACAATGCCTTCGGGATAAAGAAAATGCTTTCTATAATTTTACTTTTATTATGTCCAGTCTATTTTCATTTGAAGAAACTTGAATGGCACTACCCTTCAAGAGTCATATCCAATGTTTTTAACATCATATAGCTGTTTAAGGATGGTATTGCTTGTACTATATTAGCTCAATAAAATTTCCATTTGTGTTTTATATTTAGAATAATAGTTCATCAATTTAGATCGTGTTTTCATATATTAACCTTAATGGAGTATTTCATTTATACACTAGCATTCTCACACTTACATTTCCCATAACATTTTAGGTTATTGAACCCGTTGCTTGTCCTCCAACACTAATTGTAAGCTTCTATACTCTTGGCTTTTCTATAAGAATTCCGTATATAATGTGTTAGAAATATCATCAAAATACTTCTTAATGTAAGTCTTTCACATTAACTAAAAATCTCGTGGTGACTGATGAGACCAGATTATCGTCATATCTTATCAACGCAAGAATTTAAACCCAACTATGAATTGATAGATTAACAACATATACCGTCTATTCTTATTAAAAAAAAAGAGCAAATATTCTTTTTATTAATGATTAATTGATAGATTAAAGGGAAAGTACATGGAAGTTACCTCGGTAGTTTGCAATTCACTAGCTTTTCTCTCTCTTCGGCTGATCCTTCATCAATAGTACTTGCCTCATTTTGATCAATGCTCTGTTATCCTATCAACCTCACCAATATCACAAATGACATTCCTCCAAGAATATTGTTCAAGCATCTTAAAACCACGATCGATGACTTAAATACCATTGGTGAAACTCCCTTAAAAACTCGATCCCATTCAAAGTCTGGTATCTAAAATTACTGCCGAGACCCACGTTAATCGACCAAATAACAGCATTAAAAATCGTTGGTGGAGGCTTATGATAAGCTACCCATACGTTTTACGTATGAGAGGCATCACAAGAGAGGAGCTGACTAGGAATTGTTATTTGTATTTAATTGGATCTGTTGGGTCGGTTGGGGAGGAAGTTAGTTATGTACATGTCATGTTGGTTAGGAAAGAATAAAGAGGAGAAAATAGAAGGCATTCAAGTGATGGGAAAATCTATAAATCATTGGAGAGAGAGGTAGCTCTTTAAACCTGCCATTTTCATTATCAATTGCTACTATTCATTCCTGTAATTGCTTAGTTGATGAAATACATATCCACTTCTTTTAATACTCGACATTTTCTTTTGAAACTCCATGCTTCATTTCACTTTTTACTATTTTGCTAAGGATAAAGACAGATTATATTTGACCAGGTTCTATCATTTGGTATCAGAACAGTAATGAGAATGGACAATAAAATGAAACACTAGAAGCTTCTATAGCCTAGATCCCGATATTGGGTATATCAATAATGGATTTGCAGGGAAATGTTGAACAATTGAATGCGAAATTAGGGATGGAACTGGAGAAAATGAATGAGAAAATAGAAGTTAGTTTGGCGATAGGTCGAAGGGAGCTGAATGATGGTCTGCAAACAATAGCGAAGATGATAAAATCTTTATCATTAGATCTGTAGCCCATGGTAGGAGAAGAGAGCGAGATGAAATCTTCAGCAATCGTCGATGAGTCAGTTGAGTTGTAAAACATGGGGATGGAGAAGAAAAACCTGAAAAGTGGGAAAGGTCACTATCGCCAGCTGGAATTACCACTGTTCAATAGGATTGATCTAGATTTGTGGATTTTTAGAGTCGAGAGATATTTTAACATGAATGTTGGATTTTAATACCTAACAAATCCCAAGCTATGATGTTAATGTGAAAATCTATATTTCATAGGTTTAGACCAATGAATGAAATAAGTACCAACAACTAAGTCCATATGCTCTACCCGGTCTAATTGTATTCCCTCTTAAATGACCTTGAATCTTGGCCCATTTAGCTTTCTTATTGGTCCAACTTAAAGCCTAAACTAGCCTACTTATAAGGTATAAAACTTAGCCATTTTCTAGCGTGATTTTTATGTGAAAAAGAGGAGAACCCAGCTACCTTGAAGAGAGTGGCTGGTCTTTGTGTGTCCAAAACTAGTAGATTTCTTTCTAGATTTTGGTCTCTTTATTGCCTTCCTTTATGGTGTTTTCACCTCACCTTTGTGGCTACAAATCATCATTGTTATCTTGTCTTTTGTAGGTGAGATTGAGAAGCAACCAAGGTAAATATATTGGTTATGGATCAGAGCGAGTTGGGTTGGTGGTTGGTAGAAAAAGGTAGCGTTGAACTGAGCCCAAAAAAACACCGATTTGAAGATCTTTGAAGCAAGCTTCCACGACAAATGGTATCAGGGCTTCAAGATGGTGGTTTTAGCATATGAAACTTACCAAAAAAATGTCCAGAAAACCAGTAGAAATTAGATCGAAAAACTGTCCAGAAAATTGCCTAAAATTAGCCTATGCTTTCGTATCTTCTAGCAAATCTAGAAAGAGTTTGGTGAAATGGAGATCACTATTATGACGTACAGGTGGAGATGGTTTCAGAAGCATGTGAAGCTCAGACCCAGAGAGTTTTGATAGCGTGTAAGGGCGCGTGCAACGTTTCAGGCGACGGTTTCTTCAGGCAGTTTGTTCCCAAAATCATTTTTGACATTTTCGTGTTGTTAGTTTTCTGTTTCAGGTTGTACAATGGGATTTGGACAGAGTTGCTTTTAGCACGATCGAGATTCGATCATGGTTTGTTGGTTATTGTAATTGCTAGAGATTTTAGGACAAATAGTGGTGATCCTAAAGTAATAAATTCCCATCTCTCATAATTTACGGACTCATATTGGTCCGCTCTGGTATATTGGCTTATCCCAATTTAAATTTTAGTATTAGCGCCTTATCATATGGGATGACGTTAGGATTGAGGTTACCGTGAAGGGATAACCATTGCTTGTCCTAGAAATTGAAGAGTTATTTGCCATATTTGAAGTGTTGAATTTTGATTACAAATTGGTAATTGATTTTGTGCTTTAACTATCATATAGTCACTGTGTGAGACTGCATTGCGTGAAAAATTTAAATTTTTGTTAATATACCTTTGTGCTATATTGATTATCCTATTAGAACATCTGGACTTGACTCGTTTTTAAAATTACATTGATCTATGATCGTGATCTTATGAAACCTTGAAAATTTTAGAACGGTGTATATTTCGACCTTAGGATTTCTTTGTGTGACTATAAGTGCATTTGGTTGTCTTGTTTTCTTAAAAATGTCTTCACATTTCAAAGTAGAACTTTTAATGGGAAATGAGATTTTTCAGTTTGACAACAAAAGATGAAGGAGATTTTGGTTCAACAAAAAGTTTCAAAAGTCATAGATAGTAAATTTCCTGTAAAATCTGATAGAGGGACAAAAAGAAGAATGTGATGAACTTGCTTACACTTCAATTATTTTACACTTATCTTGTACTGTTTTTAGAAAAGTTGGAAAAATTAATTTTAAAAAAGAACTTTGGCAAAAGGTGGAGGACTTATATTTGCTTAAGTCTATTCCTAACAAATTATACTTGCTTGAAAGGTTTTTAAGTTTTAAAATGGATTTTTCAAAAGATCTTGATAACAATTTAGATATCTTTAACAAATTAGTTCAAGATATTGTTAATTGTGATGAAAAAGTGTCTGAAACGTACAAGGCCATTATTTTGCTTAGTTCCATACCTGATTCATATAGAGAGGTTAGGAATGCAGTTAAGTATGGTAGGGACACCTTAACACATGAGATTGTCATAGATTCTCTTGAGAGTAAGGAGATGGAGATTAAGGCTGAAAAAAAGATAAAATGAGTGGTGAGTTACATATGATAAGGAGTAGAATGAAGTTTAAGCAAATAAATTTGGGAAGAGCTCAAGACAATAGTGACTCGAGTGATGAGGGTGGTAAGAAAAAGGACAAGGGACGGGACAAGTCCAGTGGTAGACAGTGTTACAGCTGTGGTAAGTCTGGACATTTTATTAGAAACTGTTCCCAGAAAAAGGATAAGCAGAAGGATAAGATGAGAGGTGAGTCAAATTTGGCTATAGGGTCGATGATGACCCTAGTGAAATTTATTGAGAGTAAATCGAGCTACTGCATGTGCATCTGGGTGTTATCCTTTCAGTACGTATGTGATTACCTAATTCTTGTTGCATGATTATATGCTGCATTTTAATGTGTTTGATATGTGCGTTTGCATAAATTTGAGGCAATATGATTACTTGGTGTAGTTGTTTGCATGCTTAGTGAGGTAGAATGTATTAGCAGTGTGTTATATGTTTTTTGATGAGGTGTAATATAGATGCCTAGGGGTACATTGTAACTTGCATCGGGGATTTGGAGTGTGACATTTGGATCACGAGTGGTGAGGTGATTAAATGTCGAGAATTTTTTATCTATGAAGAGACCATGACAAGATGGAGTGTGAGAGAGGCACTTCTATCACTTCTGTTATGTGGAGACCCATTATTCACTAAGTTGGGAGAAGTGATGTGGTGATAGAGGATTATCCCATGAACTTAGGATCTATTGTGACTTACCAGTTAGACATGAGTTGAGTGATCGGTCCAGTGAGCATGGTAAACTATGAGAGGAGATATGTGTTCTCCAGGTGTGAACAACACAGAATGGGATGAGATAAGTGTGATGAGATCATTTTGCAGGGTCATTCATGCATTTGTTGCATTTGTGTTTGACCGCCTGTTTGATTAACTTGGTGTTAATCTATGATTCTGTGTGAAAGTGTTTCTAAAAAGTTCTGTGTGTGTTATCTAATATTATATCTTCATTGCATGATTATTTCCTCTTGATTGATTACTGTGAATACTTGTTTCTTTTTGGGTGTTCTTGACCTTAGCCCTAGTGAGTAAATGGAGCAAGTATGGTATGTGTTTCAGGTAAAAAACACAAGGTAAGGTCTGTGATCCAACTTTATTGGTTACCTTATTTATGTAAGTACTAACTATGTGTTTTAATTACTTGCAGGTTTATTGGGCATCAAGGTGGAGATTTGTTGGGTTTTGATACCCAATAAATCGCAGGCTATGATGTTAA